CGTAAGGATTTCGATGCGCGCTCGTGTGCGAGTGTGCGGGGGTTTTCGCGCTGTTATATATAAGTAAAAGGCGGCTTATCGATTTTCTGACATAACGTCTCTTTCACTTTCTCGGGGCGCTGCGCTGCTCTAATCCTCCGCAAGATGTACGAGTTTTTTTTACCCTCCTCTTCTTTTATCTCGAGCGAGAGAGAAGGAGAGCGAAATATTTTCAGGCTATTATTCGGGAAAGTAAGGCAGAAGCAATGGCGGAGTGCAACAACGCGAGTACAAACAAACAGAAGCAGCAGCACGAGAAACAGCTGTTTTGTTTCGCGCGCTACGGCACAGGCAAACGCGCACAAGGTCGTACGCTGGGGGCCTTCGTGGAGGACTGTACATATAAATAAGTGCGCCAGGACACGTAGTATATCGCACGCCTAGAAATGCGTTGTACACGCGGTGCAATGCACTCGACCGTCGCTGCTGCCTGAGACAATAATGTACACATCCGCAGAGCGCAAAACCGATGCGTACATAATAGCAATGTAAAATACGATAGGCGGCTAAGAATATGGTTTTATTTATATTCAAAAGAATATACGATTTCTTATTCAACGTTCAAAATTTCAATCACAACTTAAGCCTCGAATTATGCCGATGATTTGTACTTGAAATTGAAGCAACAAACGAAAGTGTCTTTCGCGAAACCTATCGGCAGAATGTGCAGAGAACAAAGCGACACTCGTGCTAAATAAGGCGGTCGACAGTAGAGGGACAAAGTTTTGCCAATTCGGACGATAGCAATCGCGCGGGATCTCCCCGCTGACTTTAACGCACAAGTGACTCGTTAACCCATAATAGTGCGAAGCTGAATTTTTGTTGCCGTGTGACTGTTTACTAATCATTTCCATAATACACTTATTCACGGGTCTATACTTGAAATCGAGCCGTTCGAGATACAGCGTCGGATACCCGCGGCGCATAACCTCGAATATTTTTATAGTGAATGTGTTTGTGTAAAATCACAGTGAATACCTACAACCGAGAAAGTGATGCAAAGCAACGTCGACGTAGTTAGGTATGATTTTTTTGCGTTGTACCGACATGATGGTTTTCTAAAAGATTTTTCTTATTAAACTCGATTATTCATCAGGGTGAAGGAGGAGCCGAGCGATACGTGGACGAACGCGTGTGACGATCATGTTTCCGATTTTGTGGGCTACTGTAAAGTCGAAAAATGTGAAGCATCCCCCAATTATGAATCGTCGGTGAGTTCAATGATTAGAATTAAGTTCCGTTGATCGACTCATAGAAATTAACTCACAATTTTCATTATAGGACGTGCATGCGAGTGAGGCTGAGGCGTTGCAAGAGAGGTTAGATGAAAAGCCGATTATTGAATTTGAGTGCAAAAATGTTGAACCTGAACTGACGTCTCCATCGATAACCATCTGCAAATTCGAGGATAAAAAATTTCAACCTATCGTAAAGATAGAAAACAACAATCCAACAACTTGCAGGAATAAAAAAATTCTAAAAATTTTGATCAAAAAGGGATTTAATTATGATGATAATTGTCAATTCGATGAGAGCTACCATTTGAACATTACTAAACATGAGAAGCTAAAGAATATTGAAAAAACTGCCGAAAGAAAATTATCATGTAAGTCAAGTACGTGTAGAGAATTGTGTATGACAAAAGCTAGTCTAAAAAAGCATATGAATATGATAAATAAGATTAGTCCATATAAATGTGACATTTGTCACAAGTCATTCGAGAAAAAAAGTAGCCTCAAATATCACAAAAATGCAGTACATGATCATAGTGAATCCCGTCAATGTAAGAATTGTCATAAATCATTTGCACTAAAAGGTGACCTGAACAAACACATAAACATGGTACACAATCATATCAAACCCTTTGAATGTGAGATTTGTCATAAATCATTTGCACAAAAAGGTGACCTTAAGAGACACATAAACATAGTACACAATCATATCAAATCCTTTGAATGTGAGATTTGTCACAAATTATTTGGACTAAATAGTAATCTCAAAGTTCACAAACAGGTAGTACATGATAATAGTAAACCCTTTGAATGTGAGGTTTGTTACAAAAAATTTGGACAAAAAAGTAACCTTAAGTTACACACAAAGACAGTTCATGATCGTTGTAAACCCTTTGAATGTGAGATTTGTCACAAAGCATTTGCACAAAAAGTTGACCTTAAGAGACACATAAACACAGTACACAATTGTATCAAATCACTTGAATGTGAGATATGTCACAAATCATTTGAATACCAGAGTAAACTTAAATTACACATGATGACAGTACATAATCAGAAAAAATACTTCAAATGTAATATGTGTCATAAGTCATTTGAAAAAATAAGTAAACTCAAATGTCACGTCAACGCAATACACAATCAGAGCAAACCCTTTGAATGTAACATCTGTCACAAATCATTTGGATATAAACAACAGCGTAACAGACACATAGATACAGTACACAATCGTATCAAATCCTTTGAATGTGATATTTGTCACAAATCATATGGACAGAAATGTCACCTTAAAAGGCACAAAATGATAGTACACGATCTTAGCAAACCCTTTAAATGTCATATTTGTCAAAAATCATACGGAAAAATAAGAGACCTCAATAAACACACGAATGCGATACATGGACGTAGGAAAGCCTTCGAATGTCAGATTTGTCGCGAGTCATATGGCCGACAGGATACTCTAAAAGCTCACATAATTGTAGTACACAAGAGCATCTCACCCTTTAAATGTAAGATTTGTCGAAAATCATTTGTATACAAATGTAGCCTCAAACGTCACGTCGATACTATACATCCTCGTGATAAACTATTGGAATGTGGAATTTGTCACAAATCACTATCAACCAAAGGTGCCCTCACAGTTCATATAGATATGGTTCATAATCGTCTTAGACCCTTCGAATGTTACATTTGTCACAGATCGTTTTACTACAAAAAAGACCTCGAAAAGCACAAAAGTACAGTTCATGATCGTCGCAAGCCTTTCGAGTGCGGCAAATGTCACAAATCATTTGGAGTAACGAGTAGCCTCTATAAACACATGAGATTAAAACATGCTCGTAGTAAATCTACGTAGTTTTAATCTGCAGATGCAATTTAAGACCATAGCAAATCTTTAAATGAATGGCATTATTCCTAAGACAATTGTACGCAATAAATTTGCGCTCACTTAATTATGGTATTGTTTGATAACTTTTTTTAATATTCCTTAATTTTCAAACTATTGTTATAAACTATTTTTATAAACTATTTTTTTTTAATTTTATAAAAACTGTAAAGATTTTCAACATCTTTTGTACTTGAATTAATAAATAAAATAGCACATCTGAATTTTCAATTTGCATTTTTTATCACCGGTAAAACCGATTCTTAAAAGTTTCCTTCACCAAACACTCTTTATCCTTGCGACGACAAAAAAAATCCATGTTATTTCTAAATTTCGCTTGCTGCTCATCGTCTCATCTTTTTTCAATCTCACTCCGACAGTTCAATGAACTTAATAATCGACGACGTTTATCAGTTCGATCACGACTATACAGCAGAACTTTGCCGAAGATTCAGTAAAATCGCTCGATCCATTGACCAATTTATTTCCGTTTTACTTTCCATTTTTTTTGCCTTGATATAATGGCGCGCATTATTCCATGCATCATCGGGATCGCAGGGAATTAAATATTACAATGGCGCGAGACTCGTTTTTCCATAAATTATGCTCGCGATGTATGTTGCAGTCTTATCTTCGGTGCGAGTCAGCTCGCGCGCGTAGGCGAATATTACACGCAGCGCGCACAGGAAAATATCCTCTCGCTCGTGTGAAAATATCACGCGAAAAACGAAGCTACGTGTACACACGAGAAGATCGCCAAAGAGAGAGAGAAAAGTCAAGCGCGCACACTCGGTAATACGCGATCGCGAATATCGCGAAGGGATATTGCTCGTATATATACTAAGTGCTCCATCGAATATGTGTGTGTATTATAATATAGCCTCACAGGCGTGCCACAAACTCGCGAAAACACCACAGGTATGTATGTGGTACTATATATACTGCAGGGAGACACACTTGCCCGAGCTACACACAGACAGACGCGAAGTTATGCAATCGAGTACATGTAGTTGTGTGTTACTATATATATGCGCGAGACGCGCCGCTCGTTTTCATGGTCAAGGCGAGAGTGTACAGCACATATATACGAAAATGATAATCTCCGCAGCAGCAGCAGCGAGCACACAACTCCAGATGCTCTTTGTAATGACACTTTTAAGCACCTTTCGTTTTAAATTTACCCAACGCCGCCAAGCCGCCGCATATATATAGATAAATACGAGCTTTTATTTTATGAAGCCATTAAAATTGCCCATATAGGTGCGTGTATGGATAAGCACGCGTGTGCCGTTACATAGAAGAAGAAGAAGATGGGCTGCACTCGACGTCGAACGAGTCGTTGATTTAAATCTATTAGCGACGGCTGCGCGCGCGCAAAAACTATTCATCTATATTCCGTCGCGCGAATATATTATATTTTATTCTATTTGCAATTCAAATGAGCGGCTGACACACAGACAGACGGACAGACACGGACACTTGCATACTTGGACACATGCAGCAGCCGAGGGGGGAAGTAGCGTTGTGCGGCTGCTTTTCTCGTACAATATTCTTTCTTCGACTCTCTTACGGCCGGTTTAGCGCGCACCGCGCGATTAGAAAATTAATTTCACCTCTTATAGGCTTCACTAGCTCGGAATGATTTACGCGCGTCGTTGAGAGAAAAATTGTGTATACCGCGCGGAAAGCCGTGTCTCGTGAGCAGTCGTTAAGCGAAAAACAATCGATATATATAATAATAAAACGACGACAAATGATCGCTTTCACTTCGAGCTCGTGCGTGTACGTACACGGCTTACGTATGTATATAATAGAGGAAATCATTTACAAATTCGCAGCTCGTGTGTGTGTAAAGGCTTGACTGTGTTGATTTTTTTTTATTTTTAAATGATAATAAACTCTTGATATCGAATACATGGTTTGCGAGTTGGACTCACATTTAATTAATGTCATTGTAATAATATATTCTAAAATAATTATTCATTCAGTCGTGTACATTGCAATTCCTGGACCTCCTTGCCTGGAAAAACAACAAGCACAGATACTTGAAAAAAACTATCATCTACAGTGTCCAAGAGGGGAAAAATGTCTACCTTGATAAACCGAACTGTACCATGTGCTGCTCCGGCTCTGCTTCTGCTGCTGCTCTGTAGCGATGGTCTCCGCCGCGGCGCATACGCCGAACAGATCGGCGTTCACGAGGTTGTCGATGATCATGTCGCAGCAGAGTATCGGCAGTCGATGTTGCGTCAGCTCCAGGAACGACTCGAGCGCCCAACGCTGGAAGAATCGCCTCGAGAGCTTCTCGCAGAGGTTGGCGACGCACGAGCGCCTCAGCGCCTCGGGCAGCTTCCACAGCGTTCTGGATCGCGCCAGCGCGAAGTAGTCGCTGTACGCCATCAGCTTCCTGGCCTTCTCCGGTTGCAGCCGTATCAGCGAGTAGAGACCCAAGTCCGGACGCACCACTATCCTTTCCGACAATCTGGCGGTCTCCTCGTCTCTGCGCCAGAACTCGACGTTCTCCCGGCTGTCGAAGAGCTCGTGGCTAGCGAACACCTTCATGATCGACAGGGCGTCGCTCCGGTCGAGTCCGTAGCCGCGCGTCTCGAGGCGCTCGACGACCTCTATCGCGTCCGAGGCCACGCGCAGTCTCCAATCGGCCCAGCAGTCCGTGCTGTCCGGCCCGTGTCTCTCGTCGAAGTGTGCCGGCGCGGGGAACACGAAGCTGGCCAGGTCGGCGCCGAGATCCAGCAGCGCCGTGACCAGATCCGGCAGCAGATTCACCACGGCCCACTGCAGAGGTGTGCGGCCCGACTTGTCCTGGATATTCACGTCCAGTCGCTCGTCCGCCTTGAGCTTGAGAAACACCTCCATCAAGTCGTCGTCGTACATCTTCCGGCAGATGAGGTGCAGCGGAGTCAGTCCCCGGTCGTTGGTCGGGCTCGGCCGGGCGCCGGCCTTGAGCAGCAGATCGGCGACCTGCTTGTGTCCTCGGGCCACGGCCAGATGCAGCGGCGAGTCGCCCGTCTCGGGCACCGCGAGATCGGGATCCTGGCCGAGATTCAGGTATTTCTCGACGACGTTGTAGCAGCCGAACTTGCAGGCCACATGAAAATGCGTCAAGCCCGACTCGTCCGAGTAATTGACGTCGAATCTGTTGTAGATCTTGAAGAGGTCGCGCACCAGGCTGTCCCACTCGTAGTGCCAGCCACATCTGACCGCTCGCAGCAGCGCCGTCGAGCGACACGACCCGGGCTTGCCCGTGGCCTCGTCCACATCCACGGGCTTGTCCCTGTAGCCGGTCCTGGCCACGAACTTGATGAATCGCACGCCCCGGTGAACGTCGTCTCGCCCGGCCCAGTAGTCGACGGCGTCCAGCAGCAGACGATCGATCTGCTCGGGACTGAAGACCTCGCGTAGATTCGGCAGGTGGACCTTCCAGTTTCTCACGAGGGGATAGAGTCGGCGGAGAAACTCGTGACGCTCCTCCGGCGAGTCCCAGTTCACGGTATCGGGCAAGCTCTTGAGCTCGTCCACGGCGATGCGGCTTATGTGATGCATCAGTTTGGAGTACCACGCTAGCATCTATTTTTTTCTACACGCACACACACACGCTCGAGCACGCACGATTATACACAACACAGACACGACACACGCACAGACACTTCTTTCACCGTAATAAATGATAAAGAGAATCACAGCTGGCTTCTGCACCACGCGCGAGATCGATTTCTCTTTGTTTATACGGCAGAGACGACGTGCTAGCTGCCGAACTAAGACTGAAACTGCGCGAACTGCGAACGACTCCGTATTACTGCTGGATCAGAGCCGCCGCCGCCGTCGTCGGCCACCGCAGTGCACAAGTCCCTTATCTGTCGCACATTCTCGCGACGACGCTGTGTATAAGTAATAGTAATATAGTAAGCGAGTCGACCGCTGGCGTCGGACGCAGGGGTCATCTCTGTTGTGCGCGTGAAGCAAAAAAAAAAACTGATACACACTACTCTGACTCGTGTGTCTCGTATACCGTGATCTCCCATTACGGTTATCGCGCGTAATAATATTAAGGACGTTTATATATTCCTATACATATTTTTTTACGCTTTAAAAACTCGTGATGTATTTCCTAGCGAGCTCGAACGATTGGTGCGAGTTTACTCGCTTCATATGTATACGGCTCGAGTGACATACTGAGATCTGACACGTCGGGAAAAACGTAAACACAGCGAAGTAGGGCAGGCTCGTGTGTGTATATCGTGAAAGAAATCGCGGCAATAATAACGATTATGTTTACGTTTTGGACCGCGTGTCTGATCTCGGTAATGTCAATAGTAAGTGCTCGCAGTCGTTTCGATACAGTTGGTCACAAGTTAGACGAGAGAAAGTGTAACATGCATCGAGGTAAAATAGATCTTTAAAATTATCAGTGACCGTGTATTTGTGTGCGTGAAAAACCATGGCTAGAAGTAGGGGCCAGTGTCGTAGTCAAATCGAGGATGATCCTGGCAAGTGCGCGGACTCGGTCTGGCGAGAAAAAATCGATGGAAAGATCGAAGAAGAGAGATACGATCTTCTCGATCGACTCTATCCCGTGATCGAAAATTGGGAGGGCTAACTTCCTAACCTCCGGAACATTTATCGGCCCGCAGAGATCGATAAACTTCTCTGCGACGCTATAAATCTCTGGAACAAGCTCGAGGACAGTTATCGATTGGAACGATTCGTCAAATTTGTGATCCGTACCGGCTACAAGGACGAGCCCGAGGTCGACGAAAGCGGCGAGACGTCGTTGCGTCGCACGACACCTCTGCATCACGCGGCCAGGCATTATCTCGACGAGCGATTGTGCAGCAGTGGTTTTCGAATCCGCGGATTCGCCATCGTCCCCGAGCTCTTCAAGATTTACGACAGGTTCGACGTGAATTACAGCGACGAGTTCGGCCTGACGCACTTCCACGTGGCCTGCATGGCGGCAGGATGTTACGGCGTCGTCGAGAAGTTTCTCGACCACGGACAGGACCCGAATTGCCTCGCGACGCAAAAATCACCGTCGGTCGATCCGTCCCTGCATCTGGCTCTGTGGAACCAACGACAATGTGTCGTCGACTTGCTGCTGAAAAAAGGCGCCGACGCGAACTTGGGCAACGCGAACGACTCGACGCCTGCACTCGTTTTGCAGGAAAATAACCGTCGATTATGCCGAGGCGAATATGTTGTTCGAGATCTGCAAGCAGAAGAACGTAACGTTGCTGATCGACGCCCGCGACAAGTCCGGCAATACGCCGCTGCACCTGGCCCTGCTCTACAACTACACGAAAAAAGTAAGGATACAAGAGGACGTGCCGCTCATGGACCTGATCGAGGAGATACGACTCCACGAGTCGACAAAAGCGTTCGAGTACGCGAGCTACTTGAAATGGGCGAACTGGAGCGAATGGCAGAATCTTCCCGAAGGGCCCGTCGAGGTTTGCACCTGGCACCTGTGCGATGCAATGTGCAGAGGATTGTTTCGACCATGGTCGGTGTATCCTTTCTGGGAACTGATACGGTATCGGCTGCCACTCGAGTGCTGTGGAATGATCGTCGACGGCCTGGCGAACCAAGATTTTAAGTGAATATTTGCTTGGCGGTTGAAGGCTCAAGTCAGAACAACGGCCCGTAAAAATAATGCTACAAGTGTAAAAAAATGTAATAACGAGAGACCCGCGAGGGCTAGAAAAGCCCAAAATAAGCTATTAGATTATTTATTGTAAATAATTACAGAGGTTCTATTTTATTTCGTTTATGATTTGTATCATATTTGTTTGGTGACTATGCAGGCTACAACTCATGATGACGATACAGTATTTTTGTAATGTCTGATGTTATTTAATAAATAAATAAATTGAATTCATTAATTTACTTGGATTATCGATACACTTTGTCATTTAATTGCATTTTTGTAATAAAGATCGAATCACAGATCACGATACGACGACGACAACGACGAGGTAATGCAGAAAAAACACATATAAACTCATCGCGAGTTGCGAATTTCGTCGCGCAGGCATAACTTCTTCCGCGATTCTTCTTCTTCTCGCTTCATACCATACGTATAGCCAATAATAATACAGTGTCTAACTTTTTTGCACAATAAAATCCAATCAACCGATGTCTTTTACAGCTTTTAGCACGGATGGCGGGAGTGCAGAAACTCACACACACGCGTTCCGTGTATACGTGCCCGTAAATCAAACGTCAAAAGCTGCAGCCTCTCACTCTCTCGCCGCGAGTAGAGACCACCACCACGCGGGGTGCAGCGCTAAATTTCACTCGCCAGAAGCAGAGCTAGAGCTAGAGCTAGAGCTAGAGCTGCTGCTGTAACTATATAATACCTATGCACCTATGTGTGCGGTAATGAACTTAGTCGTCGTCGTCGTCGTCGTCGTCGTGCGTCGTAGAGTCGCGACGTCGTTGCAGCACACAAACCGCAGTTATAAAGCCTTGCGCGCACCGTCACGTCGTTTGCGCGCGAAATAACATCTCGTCTCGCGCGCGTATATAACGGCCTGCGGAGCCGCGCGCAGCTTATATGGCGATATATAACACACGCTGAAAAATACAAAAGGGTATATGCGCGCGCAAAGATTTGCGAGATCTCGCATTTTTTGACATTTTGTGTATACCGAGGGCGCAATAGTTTCAACCGAGATTAGCCGAATAAATTCTAGAAAAAAAAAAAAAAAATAAACATCGACGCGCAACGACGACGACGACGACTTTTTACCGTCATCGATCGCGCGTATAATATAACACTACTACGTATGCTGCACGAGGCGGGAGTTAGCTGTATTACGCGAACGCGCGACGCAAAGACAACAAAAGCTCGACGCAGAGTGTAGCTGCCTACTACTCTCCTACCTATATAACGATTCCACGACGAGATATTATTTTTGTTAAAACTTTTTGCTTTTTATTTTTATTTTTACAAAAGCGAGTTTCTTATGCAACCGCATCGACTCTCGCACATACGTACTAGTAGTAGTAGTTGTAGACAGAGTATAAGTTTTGAGAGGAAAAGAGCCAACTGTATACGCGAGTTAATACAGTAGTAGTAGAAGTGAACGTACTCCGCGCGGGGCTGTATTATTATATGCCTTTTTGTACAACAGCAGCTAACACACAAATAATGGTCTGTGTGTACTGTGTGTAGGTGGTGGCAAGTTAGCGTGCAGTTTGATGATGTCGGCGACGACGACGGTGGCCGGGCTCCGAGCTATACTACTACTGCTGCACAAACTTTTAGTGTTTAGATATTTTTTACGACCTCCTCTTATATATATACGCTACACGTGTATACTACTACTGCTGACTTTGTTGCCTTCCTTTTTTTTTATATACTATAGTACCTATAGAAAATTTCCAACGATCGAACGTAGATATATATATTATTTGAGAATCGAATCAAAGCTCACTTTTCTCTCTCGGCTCTCGAGACGCGTCGTTCGTCGCCGAGAGTTAAAGGTAAAAAACAAAGGATATAAATTCAGTAGCACTGCTGCTGCTGCTGCTGCAACACACCCAGCAAAACACAGCAGTAAGGCAGCAACGGCACACGAAATATATATAACAAAAGCAAAAAAGGACAAAGAGAAATTACGGTTCATGTTTTTCCGAGACAGAGACGAAGAAGGGCGTACGAATATATACCTGTGTATATATACCAACGCGCATACACACACACAGTAGTGGCGGAAGAAAAGATCGAAAGAAAATCGATGTTACATCCGAGATAGGAAGAGGTGCATAAGAAATGGCACCTATATCTGATCGTACTACCCAGAGACTCTGCCACGAGGTGTATATATATAAGAGCGAAGGACAGAGAGAAGCAACAGAGAGAGAGAGAGAGAGAGAAAGATAGAAAAAAGATAGATAAGAACGAACGAGGAAGAAATGGCTTAAAGTGACTATATGATAATTTATGTAAGCTCGGCTTTTCTCGGCTTGGGTTTAACTTCACTGCTGCTGCCTTGTAGTTTTGCATATTTTCCATATAATTCAATTTTCAAGGCGCTCCCCACGTATAGTATAGCGGCGGCACGTGTAGTTTTTCTTCCCAATGTAGGCAGTATATATGACGGAGTAGCAACTCCTAATCGAGCAACAAAGCCGCGGCGCTGGTAATATCTCCTGCGTTATTTTATTTTATTCTATTCTACTTTTTTCCTTCTTCTTCCTTTTGTCTTATATATATCATGCCCTCCAACACGATACAACCCTTGTGTATCATGTACTTTCGAGGAATCCGCACACCGCAAGATCGCAACAGTAAAAGGGTTTATATCTGTGTATAAATTACAACTTAACTGCGCGCGGCCGCGATGCAGCAGTAGCAGTAAGCACACGAGGTGTTGTAACTTTTATTTGTACTTCGCGCTGCGCAGCTACTACTTTTTCCTCCACTTTCCGAGGGTTAGAGGGTATCTTCCTCTAACTTCTTTTTTTTTCATTCTCGCTGCTACCGCACAAAAAACTACTACGATTTTTGCCAATATAAGAAAGCTCCAGCTCTCTCTCTCTTGGTCTATGTTTCGTATTAGCGAAATGCAAATCGTGCCGCCACTACCACCGCTATGGTGTATAATATAGCCTAGTAGTAAGCTAGCTAGCTAGCTAGTGCAATGCACTCATTCATTGAGATTCTCCGCGAAAGTTCCTAGAAACCATTCCATCCTCTAAAAACAAGCTGCTGCCTTCTCTCTATCTCTCTCATTCCACTGCGAGCTCTCTAAGTCGTCGTCGTCGTAGTCGTCTAAGTCGTACTATATAGTCTTTCGCGCCGGGCACCTATACCACTACTACTATGAGAGAGCGAAGGCATTTGCATGGGCGAATGCGCTGCCGCACGCTGCCTGCACGCCGCAAAAAGAGCAATGTACTTTCGCACACGCGCGCGAGCGCAAACTTACGTAACTCCTTCTCTCTCTCTTTTTATTTCTCTTTCTCTCTCTCTCTCTCTCTCTCTCTCTCTCTCTCTCTCTCTCTCTCTCTTTCTCTCTCTTATATACTCTTCGCTTTTTCGCGTTGAAAGCAAAAAGAGAAGAAGAATGAAAGAAAAAAAAAGAGAAGGAGAAGACAACGCACAAGCTCGGTCGTAGCTTAGGTCGTGTTCGTTTTGCTTGTAATTATAGACTTCACTGCGCGCACTCATCGAAAAGAGAGAGAGAAAG